TTATATTATTTGAAATAAATAATTGTTTACAGTTTGCACAAGAACTATAGTTAGTTAATGTGTTACCGATATTTGTAAAACGAGGCGGGGTGATTATCCTTATCAGTAGTCAGTACCTACCAAGGCTGGGCATTAACGAGTTAATAAGTTAAAGTTAAGTTACTTTGAACCAAGTTAATTAACGAGGTACTTTTTTTTTTAGAAGTAACTTCTGACTTAACGAGTTACATTTTCCCCGTGTTATTCAGTAACTTAACGAGTTAATTCATTTTATTGGCACGTTAAGTTAATGTTTTCCCAAGCCACTTATTTAAAATAAATTCAATTTTGTAAGATTAATTAAATAAAAAAAATCCCGAAATATTAAATATATTTTAGTAAATAATAATTTATAATAATAGTAAGTAATTATAATATTATATAGCATATTCACAGAAAATATTATATAAATATATATTATTGACGGAAATGTTAAAGGGGTAACCGCGTCATTAATAAAAGAAAAATATAACAATTTACTCAGTAGTCAGTACCCATACACCACATATTATAACCTAACCTATTTATGCTATACCTAATCATTATTAATATTATCACTTATTATATTTGTATTTATTCATAGAATTATAGTGATAACTTGCCCCGTCGGTGTAAATAATAGTATAATACCCGTAGTTGCGGGGTAGTTCCCTCGTATTTACGTATTTCTAAATTCTTACTACTAAATATTAATTGCATAATATTTGATATTATATTATATTCTAATAAATAATAATGAATTTGATTATTATAATATTTAGTATAGTTGTGGACCATTAACATAACAATAATTTAATCATTTTATTGGAGTTCATCGTTGAGTAAAGCATAATATACAAATATAAGTACCTACAATAACTTATTTTATTACAAACATTTATTTAAAAATTGTAAGACATTTATTGATTTATTGAATTATTATGTTATTTGTTGGCTTTAAAGAAGGTAGGTAAGTATAAATGTATAATTATTAATTTTATTTAAAAAAAAATAAAGTTCAATTTGAACTTTAAACCTAACTTACATTTTAGATTCTGAGTGTAACGATATAATGTATTGATTTTACAATGATGTGTGTTTTTTTATTTTTTTTTTTTTGTGTCTGTGTACACGATAAGTAGTCGAAATAATGCTTCGATTTTCAACTTCAGTATCTTGTTCGATTGGAAAGTGAATATCGTTGGTGCTTTGGGGAGGTCAAAATTCCTAGTAAATTTCAAAAGCGCCAAGAAAAACAAAAGAAAAATTAAGGAAAAACAGGAATTTTTACGCAAAATCGATTTTTCACAAAATTGAATTTGGTTTTTGGTGTAACTTTAAAACAAATGATACATGCAATTTTCACTGGTTTTTATATTTGCATTTTCTATACACTTTAAAATTTTCAAAATATTTTGATTTATTTTGAACTGTTTAGGGACATTTTCAGTTTCCAATTTTATTCGTTTTTTTTTTTATGAATACCAATATAAATTTATTTGTTGAGTAAAATTACTTGAAAATTTAATACAAGGCTCCTACTATATTTTACCATAGGCAGATGAAAAATATTAAAAATCCTTAGTCACAGTTTTTTTTTATAAGCATTTTAAGTTTAAAAATTGACAAAATATGAAAAATCACGAAAATTAGCAAATTATTTTGTGTTAAGAATTCATAAAAATGTTTCTTTTTAAATCTAAGATTTTAAAATGTAATACAAGATTCCTTAAAAAATTTACTACATTTATCAAAAAAAAAATTTCTATAAGAAAGTCAAATTAAATTTTTATGAGCGTTTGAAAATCAATTTTTTAAAACATTGGATATTCACTCGATTTCTCATGTGGCGATTTCCTTATTTTGTAGTAATTCAAAAACGAATAAAACTCCAGTTACATGAAAATTTCACTAAAAGTTTATATTTGCATTTCCTATACACCTACAATTTTGAAAATATTTTGACTATTTTGAGCTGTTTACGGACATTTTCAGTTTTCAATATTTTTTAATTTTTTTTTCTATAAATATCAATAAAGTTTTATCTGTTGGACCAAAAAGTGTAAAAACTTAATACTTAATACTTACTTGTACAAGTCTCCTGGTATATCGTTACAATAGCAATTGAAAAATATTAAAAATACATAGGCACAATTTTTTTTTATAAGCATTAAAGATCAAATTTTGACAAAATTTTATAATTATTTTGTAGTTAATAATTTATAAAATGTTCAACTTTTATATCTAAGGATTGAAAATTGAATACAAGATTCCACCATAGGCGTGTTTACGGTGGCAGTCTAGGGTGCCTGGGCTGCCCCTGCAATTTTTGAAAGGTGCAGGTCAACCGAGTTTTAAATCAGAAAGGTTGCAGCATTTTTTTTTTTAACTTTATTTTTCTGTGGGTTTCGTTATAATTACCATTTACTTACAAAAGATTGATTTCCTGACTTCCGAAATCGGAAAAACCTACTATAAAGACTTGAGACAGACGACGACGGTACAGTACGCATCTAGGTTTTATTGATATTATTGTTGTATTATTTTTGATTTGTAGCTATATAGGTGGTGTAATCCAAGGCTGTAGATGAATAATATTTCTGTAGTTACCTACTGTAGATATTATTATTGTAAATAGGTAGATAATTTTTTTTTTTTAAATTATATAAATATTTTATTGTGGAGCGGGGACTTAAAAAAATAAGGCTTTGGGTGTACAGGGCTTTTTCAGTTCACTAATAAGGTAGTGCCGGTTATTAGCTAGGTTGCCCCTGCCGATAAAGTCTAGTCACGCCTATGGATTCCACGTAAGCATCACCAACAAAATCTAAAAAATACATAAGCACAGTTTATTTTATAGTCATTTTAAGTTCAAATTTGGACGAAATTACATAAAAAAAAACCTAGAATAACTATTTTAGGTATTTTATTGTGATTGTATAATATAATTCGTGGTTACTTGTAACTTCTAAAGTGTACTTTTATATATCTATGATACTATCACGGTTTTTGTTGATGTATTAAGCGTTATAATTACCTAATGGATATTGTGATATGATTAATTTAGAATTTATTATAGGTACCTATTATAGGTCAATTTTTTGTTTAATACCATAGATATTATAGATATGTATATTATAATATGTCTTATACCTAGACTGACATACCGTCTCCGCTCAGAATCTTTTTCTTATACAATGATATTAAATCATTGAATTCAAATTTAATACTATCCATTATACAGCGACCCACTTGTAACCTACTGTACAGCAGAGCACCTTTTTATATATTAACTTAACGAGTTATAAAAAGTTTGCACAGCCTTGGTATACCTACTACCTACAATGATACAATATTATTACTAACCTATATATTACCAAAGATTATAACGATTTTCTATGGAAACTGTAATTAGGCATATTATGTTTTAAATTCGGAATTATAGGTAGGTAATAAATAAATTATGCAATACACGATCATGATCATTGTACGCTCAATTGGTATTTAAAATCACGATTCACGAAATATTTGAAGTAGCTAATAAATACGTATAAAAAATTTTAAAATACAAGTTAAATATTTTATAATAAACATATTTAAAAAAAGTGGGTCACTGTAATGGATGGTGTTAAATTTGAATTCAATGATATAATATCATTGTATAAGAAAAACGATTCTGAGCGAAAACGGTCAGTCAGCCTATTATATTACTAAGTATATTTGATGATATTATTGTGAATAAAGTAAGTTATATATAAACTATTTACGTGGAACCTTGTTTTAAATTTTCAATCCTTAGCTATAAAAGTTAAACATTTTATACATTTTTAACTACAAAATAATTATAAGATTTGAAATATATAAATTTTGTCAAAATTCGAACTTAAATGCTTATAAAAAAAATTGTGATAATATATTTTTAATATTTTTTAACTGCTATTGTTACAATATATCAGGAGCCTTGCATTAAATTTACCCAACAAATACATTTTTATTAATATTTATAGAAAAAAAAACTAAGAAAATTGAAAACTGACAATGTCCGTAAACAGCTCAAAAAGAGTCAAAATATTTTCAAATTTTTATGATGTATAGAAAATGAAAATATAAACAATCAATAAAATGTTCATGTATTTACAGTTACTCGTTTTTGAATAACAAAACCGCTACAAGAGATATCGATATTGTAAAATTATGAACTTCAAATGCTCATAAAAAATTTAATTTTACTTTCTTGTAGACATTTTTTTTTTTTTTTTGATAAAGGTAGACAAATGTACGAGTAATCTTGTATTACATTTTCAAATCTTAAATTTAAAAAGAAAATTTTTTATGAATTTCTAACTAAAAATATTTTGGAAATTTTCGTCATTTTTACGTATTTTGTCAATATTTGAACTTTAAATGCTTATAAAAAAAAATTGTGACCATGGATTTTTAATATTTTTCACCTGTGTTTGAAACAATATATTAGGACTCTTCTATTAAATGTTTAAACTTTTGTACCTAACAAATAATATTGTATTGATACTCATATAAAAATAAAAAAAAAAAAAAGGAAACTGAAAATGTCCTTAAAGAGCTCAAAATAAGTCAAAATATTTTCAAAATGTTATGGTGTAGAAAATGTAGAAAATGCTAATATAAACATTCAGTCGAAATTTCATGTACCAATGGTCATTTGTTTAAGAGTTGCGCCACAAACCAAAATCGATTTTCACGATTTTGTGTAAAAATTCCCGTTTTCCCTATATTCACTTTCCTATCAGAAAAGATACTGTTAAAAGAAAATCCAAGCACTTTTACTGTCCTAAAAGGTGATGACAGACACAAAAAAAAATTTAAAAATTAAAAAAAAAACACACATCATTGTAAAATCAATACATTAATCGTTTCACTCATAATCTAAAAGTAGTTACTTATACTAATAAAAAAAAATAAGTACCTACATACATAGTTTTACTCATCTGCATTCTACAATTCTACATACTATTAAACACCATCTGTCTGTTTATATAACTTACTTTTTCATCCATCTTGGATAAATCAACCATTGATTTATGTCTCAGCAATTTTTCAAACTCTCTCATTTTATATTCAAACACCGTATTGTTAATCTCATAAAAGTATGGCTTTCGTAATAATCGATTGGCTGAATACCTCTTGGATGGGTCATAAACTATCATGTCTATGAGTAGATCATATGCCGGATGGTATGGTTGGTACACTGAATGCAGTCCAACTCCAGTGGTTCTGTCATTTCGTTTATTAGTTTCGTATTGTGCAACGAACACATCAGATTTATGTTTTTTAAATTTATCAATTAATCTTTGGTCTGGAGAGCCTAATACCCGGTCAATCTTTTCAATTTGGTCATTTTCGTCTCGCCCATCGAACAACGGATGACCGGTAGCTATTTCATAAAGTACACATCCCGTTGCCCAAATATCCATCTTTGAATTGTACCAACCTTTTGTTAACAAGCATTCAGGTGATCGGTACCATCTAGTTGCCACGTATTGTTTGTACTGATGGCCATAAATGGCTTGACATGTGGTTCCAAAATCACCAATCTTTAATATCTTGTCCCGCGACGTAAGCAAAATATTTTCTGGCTTGATATCTCTATGGATAAAGCCTTTCTCGTGCAAATATCTTAAGCCTTTACAAAACATTCTAATGAATAATTATTATCATTATAATTTGTAAAACAATTATATACCTTCCAACATTTGATACATATAAGTTTTAATTCTATATTCCGATAGTGGACATTCTCCGTTTTTTATAACATCGTAAAGTGATTTTTTCATTAATTCTGTTACTAAAATAATTTTTCCTTTTTCTTTATCGTGGTATGCGCTTTTTAACATAAGTAAGAACGGGTGTTTTCCCACCGAGTTTGATACATTAATTTCGGGTATAGCGTTCCATTTATCAGCGTCTACTGTATGTCCATAATCTTGTTTCAATACTTTGGCCGCATATTCTCGTCCGTTGTTTCGTTGCACACATAACCATACATCAGAAAACGAGCCTTCGCCAATTTTTTCCTTAAGATCAAATTCAGAATAAAATTTATTAAAATTGTCTCTACTAGATAGTAGGTTAGGCATATTAGGCGACATAAGGTCGAATACAATTAAAATTGGAAAGTAAGTATCTAGTCAAAATGTAATATTGTATTAAATATGTCAAATATTTCTACTTTATGGTCATATTATTAAAACTTTTTGGTTTCCATACAAACCCTGGAAATAGATTTTCATTAATGTATTTCTTAAAGGTATAGGCCAGATGTTACATTAAATTTGTATTTATTTTAATTTTAAAATGTGTGTTATAATGTACCTATAATATATTAAAATTATAGATGGGTATATTTAATTTTCTAATGGAATTAGAAATGCATTAAAAATTATGGAACTATAGAAATGAATATAGAATTCAGATAAAAAATTAACTCAAAATATGGTTTATCACACCCAGATAGTCTCATACGTAGTTAGGAAGTCAAATGGGCAGAATAGCAATGTTATAAGTTATAACAATGGCCCCATATTTATGCAAGGACAAATGGGACATTTGCATTGGGCCCACTCAAAACAGGGGTCCACCTTTTTCAGGCAAACAAAATATTAATTTTATATTATACCTTTTTATCGGTTCTAGGTCACTTTGTACGGTCGAGCATTAAAAGTGCGAAACGCGGACACTTTGTACGGTCGGGTAAAAAGGTACATTGCAGAACGCGGACACTTTGTACTATTATCTACATAAAGTATATATATTATAAATATAAGTTATATACCTAAGTAGTAAGTATATAATAATATTATAAATTATAATGTAAATTATTAAAATATAAAAATTAAAAATTAAAAGTAAATTGTTTATCGTATATTAATAATGATCAAAATAATTTAATAATCAAACAATCAATAATATTATTATAAATCTTAATTGTATTATAATATTAGATATCAGTTTTAAAGCAAATTAAAAATGTGTACAATATAAATATGTCATAATGACAAATAAAATATAATAATGAAAAAAAATCATTAAAAACTACATGCATAGTACCTATAATATGGAAATATCTCAAAATGACAAGTAAAGTATAATATTGACAACAATTTTAAAAAACTACATAATATTGTATAGTATAATAATATGAAAATATGGCAAAATGGTATCAAGCTTAGATAAAAACTTCACATACATAATTATTTAAAATTAAGGGTTTAATAAATCAATTTTAGAATAATTCGTCAAAATGAACGATCTATAAAATATCAAATTTCCATTCTTTAATATTTAAAAAAATCTTTAAAACCTACATGTATAATATGACAGTGTCTTAGTGAAATGCATTTATAACATTGCAAAATGCACCATTATCGATGTACCCATGAGATTCCCCAGATTATATAAAATGTATTTATAACATTTTTAGTAAAATTTGTCATATATAATATATAGTATTATTTACTTGCTAACCTAGGTATATAACTTATATTTATAATATATATACTTTATGTATATAATAGTACAAAGTGTCCGCGTTCTGCAATGTACCTTTTTACCCGACCGTACAAAGTGTCCGCGTTGTACATTTTGAACAATGGACCGTACAAAGTGACCGTTTACCCTTTTTATCATACTTTGAAAAAACAAAATAGATTTGGATTTTACTTGGATAATTTGGTGGGTTATTACCTATAAAGTAGGTATAATGAATTTTCTCTGTAAACGACGACTTTGCCGACAACAAAATCTAATTGCCGTTATTATCGTAATATCGACTTAGTATTACTATTGACTAGAGACGTTCCGGTTACCCGGCAATTATGTACTCGATGGCCGGGTACTCGATATCATATTTAAGACTCGTTATACCCGGCGTAATACCTACATTTTTACCCGGCCCTTACTTTCGGTACCCGGCGAAATACTACATTTTTACTCGACTCATATCCAATGACAAACGCTGATAATCTATTTATATATATATATATGCATACCTATAATATTAATATAAGGGGAAAAATCTAAAATTTTATGGTCATAAAATATTATAATTTATTTTGGTACGTATTGGAATAACTGAACCGATTTACAATAGCCAGTTGATTATAAACAAATCGTGTTTTTATTCTACGAATTACAAAAATAAATCTCCATCTCGTGTTTACTGCCTAATGTTTATACAGTTGATACTTAAACAATTTTACTCGGACAGTACTCGGTACCCTGCAGATTAATACCAGATTTTCTACCCAGAACATCTCTACTATTGACGTTATTGTCTATTGAGTTGTTACGTGATATACGTCAGTCGTATTTATTGTAAAATAATTATTCGTAATCTGTTTATTATTTTTAATAATTTAAATTGTTAATAAAATAGTTAATTGGTTAAATGAATAGAATATTAAAGAATAGACGAGATGAATAAACAAAAAAATTACACGGTAGTTTAGATAAATTTACGTTTAGAACTAGTTTATCTACATTCTACAGCATGGCGCACAATCGAAATGTTTGTAAAAGCTGATTAGCTGAAATCAAATTTGACTTTAAACATTAAACTTAAAAACTTTTACTATGATAAATAAGTGTAATAATCAAAAACACGTTTGCTTTTTAATTTGTATACTTACTTGAATAAATATTAAACATTAATTATAGACTCTTTGAAAGTGTAAAGTGTTCTTGTATATATTAAATAATCAAATTTTTAACAATAGAATTTTATTTTATGATCTAACTACTCATGTATATGCAACTAATTTAAAAATTAAATATGCATACATTGTATTTTAGCATTGAAGAAAGCGTAGAGATGGACAATTTGGGGCCCAAAATTTAAAATAGTACTGGGCCCATAAATTGGTAAATCAGACCATGAATGGCCCAGTATAGATAGTATAGTAGAAATATTTTCTCTATTTTACACACGTCAAACGTATATTTACAATTGACATCATACATTCCTACACATTACATAATTATTTACTATGTTGGTACTTGGTACTATTAATAATTTTATTATAATCAATGGTAGAACTTAATAAAACACACCAGTTTACAAACCTACAATACCCTCTCCCACAGTTAAAAACCACTCAATGGCCTAAGTAGCCGAGGGTTAATTAATGGAAAAAAACGTAATAAAAACTTACATTATTTTCATTATTAAAATTGAGGTAACCTTACTTATTAAAACCATTTAATAAAATAATATTATCTGGTTTCTTAGAATATTTTTTATATTATTTTGGTTTTTAAGAAAGGTATAAGTATTTAATTTATTACATTTACAAACTAATAATAATTTTTTTTTTTTAAATAAAAAGATTTAAAAAAGATTTCGTCACACCACAGTCACACAGATATAATGTTAATTGTTATTCTTTATAATCGTTATAGCCAATAGACAATAGGAGATAGGTACCTTAATTTAAATTTTAAATAATGAGTGAATACGGAGAGAGATTTCAACATTTATATTACACGTGTGTAAGACGGAGAAAACAATTTGGTACCTACATACATTGATGTGCCCTCTTAACATTTTATTCATAAATAAATTGAATGTACAATATAATTAGAATTTGAACCATAAAAACAAATTCATTGAACCAATACGTTGGCCATTACAAGTTCGATAATGATAATTAATAGCATAGCAGACAGGTACCTATATAATAGGCAGGATTTTATTTCTGTCTTCAGGTAAGGGTTTTTATTTGTTGTAAGGTCGTTTTTTTGATTCAATTTTGACTGTTAAATCAGAAAAAACCTAGATTAATTTGGTTTTTCAACTTAAAAGTTAATTTTTATAACATACATTTTTTACATACCTAATTATAATTTATAATGCCTGTTATGTAAATTATTGTACTTCCTAGTACATATTAGCAAGGTACTGATACATTATATCGTTGTCATTATATTTCTTACATAGGTACATTTATTCAGATAACCTATATCTATTGATTTTGATAACATATACCTATGATTAAAAATAAAAAAATTATCAATCGATTCAATTCATTAATACATCCCATTTGATAGATAAAATGATTATTACAGTTAAATAATTAGTGTAAATATTTATTTGAAAATCTTTTTTTCTATTGAGAAATATTCAAACATAATATATTATATATATCGTACATTATAACCTAATAGGCAATATGTTACATTGTTACAGTATACCTAGTAGGTATCTACATTCATAGAACTATATAGGTATAATTAAGTGATGTAGACATGTGGTACCTAATAATTAATATGTATCCGCATCAGCCATGCATAAGATGTAAGTATTATTAGGTAGGTATGGAAAACATATTCAAGGAATATAATGCTAACTCGTTAACCGCCTGTTTCTATTCATTTTTCATAGTCAATATAGGTTAGTGAAAATTAATGCCATGTTATTTATTCCCTACTCGAATTCAGTACAATACTAGTATAATATACTATTACATAATATACAGACAAATTCGCTTATAACGATCTTCTAGGGACCTAGGGAATCTGATCGTTATAACCGAACTTCGTTATATCCGGATCATAAAAAGTAAATTGAAAAATTGATTTATTAAACACATTTTTGCTGTTTAATTTTATTTAAGATTACATTATCTTTTAATATTCAAGGTATGTATGTATTTAGAATTTTTAATAAAAGTACATATTATTATACATAGTATATGTTTACGATTTGTTTGAAAAATAATCCATTATAGTAGGTTTGTTTATAATTTGAATAAGATTTTTTAACAAAATTAAAAATATTATTTAATGCCATTGATACTTCTGGCCTATTTATATCACTGTTTACCGAAACAAAAGTACGCACCTGATCAATATAAAAATACATTTCCGAAATAGATGGTACTTTAAATACGATTTCTTCGCACAAGACACAATACTATTTGTTACAGATAAGATTAATAATTATCGCTTCGGACGAAATCAAATTTACTACACAATGTACATATTATTAATCGCTATAGGTGATTATCAAAATCAATTTTCGTTTCAAAATAACATTGCTATATCCGGATTATCGTTTTACTCGAATTTGACTGTAGTATAGTAGTTGTATACTACTATACTAGCTATACTAAGTGATCAGATTAATTGTATCAAAATATTATATTTACATAATACATACTGATGAGTAAATTGATTAATATTCAAGTTTGTTCTATGGTTGTCTTATTATTGCTGGAAATGAGACTTCGATAAAATTTACAATATGTTTAGATAAGTATGCATTACTGCAGTACTGTAGGTAACCTTACTTGACTATACTTTCTTTTGCGTTTTTCTATAAAATGTAAATATTTTACTAGTCAGTGATGAATATGATTAGCCAATATTAGGCACTTAATAAATTGAGCGGACCAAAATCGAAAATATAATATAATTAGGTACCTTTACATGGCTACATAACACTATAGACACTTATATACGCAACGTATAGGCAAGCATATGAATATCAAATAAATATAAAACATTTTGTACGTAATAAATAATAATCAATATTATCGGTACACCTATATATAAATCTTTAGTTAATAATTAATATCATAAATATTATATTCTGTTCTAATATTTGCTTACAAAAAATTTGGGCTTGAGGCCTACGTTGCTTTTTATTTTATGTTGCAAATAGATGTAAGGACTTTATACAGTTAGTAGTTACTCTATATTATGTTTCAGTATTCACCTTCGTATTTCAATTACAAAGATGTTATACTTATAAATGTGTATCCACAAAAAGAAGCAGTGTATCAAATGAGCATATACTTCAAGAAATTCGTCCCTATTTCCAAGCATCAAGACCAATGGTTTAGACATGTAAGTATATTCAGTATCCAGTATCCATATATTCAGTAAACATATACTCTAACGAGTCTAACTGCAATAATAAATACATTAGATGTGTACCTGAACCAAAATAATAGTAAGGTATTACTAAGGTCCTATATTGACAAGTAACAATAGTAACTTATCTTACTGCCAAATAAGTTATAGAAAGAAAGTATTATAAAGGTTTTATATGCAAAAAAAGTTACTATGGAGAATACCTAAATAATAATTATTATTTATAATATAATATACATAAATTATATATTCAATTTGTGTATTATTAATTATTTTAATGAAATAATGTATAAAATATATTATTAATATATTTAACAGTAATGTCGTACTAAAATAAATGATAATAATAGTACGTAGTGTGATGATGAAGTTGGCGGGAATTTAAAATCTCCAATCCCAAAACGTAGTTCATAATACAATATGCACCAGATACCTAATAATATGGCTGAAACGTAACCTATTATAAGCTTCTAAAGACTATAATAAATAATTGTAAACATATTTGTTTTGTATTGTAATGTATTTCAATTTTCAACTGCACTAGGTACTTTTCAACTTTTTTTAATTCCACTATTTAATACTAATAACAACTTATGTGAAACCTTGTATTACATTTTCAATATTTTGACCGAGTGCAGGAGAATTTTTTGTTTATTAATTGAAAATAAATTTCTCATAACTTAAACAGCTGAAAGAGAGTTAAAATATTTTTTAAATGTTATCAAGTATGGATAATTATCAAATAAACATTTGGTTACAACTTACAGTATCTACTGATATTAGTTTTCAAATAACATAAAAAAAACTTCGTGATGATTTAAGTGGACGTGGTACAACCCGATGTGTTGTCTCCGTCGTACAAGTGCGTACCATAACAAATTTTACCCTCATTTAGCTATGCTGGTTTAAAATTTAGAGTGAATTGACCTATTATACATTTTAAAGGTAGAATTATTATATAGGCAATCTCATAGGCTTTTTATTATATTTTAGTTTTAAAACAAATTATGAGTATTTTAAGATGTATAAATAATTTACAATTTTAAAATACTCATAACTTGCTTTAAAATTAAAATATAATAAAAAGCCTTTGAGGTTATTTAGATAATAAACTTACCTTTAAATTTTATAAGAGGTCAATTTACTCTAATTTTTAAACTAAAGAAGCTAAACGTAATCTTCTGAGAGTAAAATTTGTTATGTTACTCACTTGTAACACGGAGACAACAATAATCTATGCGTAGCGTCAATTTGCGTAATTTCATACACATGCAATAGGGACCACCTAGAGACAACCAATGCGAGTGCCACGTACTCTTAAAAATTAAAGTTTCCAAGTTTATTCTATATAAATACATATTTTACAAAAAAAATAATAATTGCATAAAGCATACCTATTATACTGCATGTTTACTTAGGCACATGTTTCTTTATTTTTAGAGCATAAAGTTATATCAGTACATATAATTTGTCTGAATCTAAAATATTTCGTACAAACTTCGATATAATTTTTTCGTCACTGATTCATAAAAATATAAAATCCGACCTTTTTCAATCGATTCATTTTTAATTTTCAAACAGTACTATTTTTTAATTTTTTTATGTCACAAATCATTTTGTCGAATGCGATAAAAACCTTCGATAAAAACCTTCAACAAGATTCAAGAATACCGTTGGTGACGGAATAAAACGTTTCCACGATGTTGCTACAACGTTTTCAGAATGTCGTACTTTTTGGCTGTATAAATAATATAATTTATTATTTTGTAGAAATGTATCTACTAACCTTAATTTAATTTTAAAGCTGTTATACTAGAATTGTATTCATATGATAATATTTTCTAAATATTTTGACTCTTTTTGAACGATTTACAGGCATGAGAATTTTTTTAGCTTTTATTCAACTAATAATGTCGATAAAAAATGTTTCGGTTGGTGAAAAGCTTGAAAATTTAATACAGGACTTGTTACAAGTTTTTATTACAGGAATTAATAAAATAATTTATCGTAATTCCATAAATATTTTTTAAGAGTGTCTGAATTCTGAAATTTAAACTTTGACAAAATAGGATAGCCAGCGTTCAAAAAAACAACGATTTCTGAACAAACTATTATCTTATTTTGTTGTAATTCACAATTTTAAAAACAAATAACCGTTAATACCTGAGATTTTCACCAAAAATTTAAATTGTAATTTTTAACACATCGTATTTTTATTAAAATGTGTTGACTCTTTTTGAATTATTTATAGAAAATTGGATATCTATCCGTCAAAAAAATTGAGAATTTAATAAAAATTTGTATGGTTTCCACACTTTTATAACTAATGCTAATCCAATAGGTAATAGTTAATAAAGAACACACTACAGCTAGGTAGTTGAAATCGTACGTAATATATTTTTATTTTTTTATAATTTTGTTCAATATATCCACTAATAACTATTAACTGCACAAGTCAATATATTGAAAATATAATACATGCGGTGTCACGTATTTTTTTCGTAAATAGTTTATCACAATACAAAATATACCTACCAATTATAATTTATAATTTAAATGTTTAAATACAAAAAACCAGTTATGTTTCGATTATAACATTTCTTGAAAAAATCTGTATCACTACTGTGGTTGACAATAATTTATAGACTGTAATAGTATATTAGTACCGCCATGGTACCATTGCAATTTACAGTGCAGTTAAGCAGTTTATGGACCTATGTAATAACTACACTCTACAGGTGTACTAAACTGTGTGCAGAGTATGGAGTTCTTGCAATTGTATATTTTTAGATTTTTGTAAAAATATTTCGAATATGTTCAAGGCAGTTGAAACGATGATAACATTTTGTTTGCATATTTCTGCTTATTTGGCGGTCATTGAATATTTTAGCATATTTTGATAACAATTAACATTTCATACTTACTTCATATTGAATTTAAATTAAATAATAAACTGTATGTCTGCATGCAAAACCTAATGTAAGATAAAATAATATTTTTTCTAGTAGAAAATGATAATTGTAATACATTTTGTCAATCACGGATCTATCGTTTTTTATTAAAATAATAACAATTTTTAGTACCTATATAAACTGTAAACTTTCTTGTTCATATAGGCAATAATTCTCTAAAATATTATTAATTGTTTTGCAATTTCGCAAGTATTTGAACCTATATAAACTATTATATTTATTTTTAGTTATTCTTATATTTAATATATCAATTGTTATCAAAAATGTATTTAATTTTTTTAATTTTTTATTATTACCTACTCTTAAACTAATTTTTGCATATTTGTTGCGTATATAAGTATATTTCCACAATTTTACTGCATATTATAATATGGAATATTGTGATACTTTTTATTGCATATTTTTTATAGCACAATAGTTATTTTTAGATTTAGGAAAAGATAGCCAGAAATTATTTTTTCTAATTTGGTTTTTTTTATATTTATACTATAATCTTTATCTTAGTATATTGTAAATTATATTATAATAAGCTTTACAATTATATGCAATTAATTTTAGGACTTGGAAGGAAAACAAAAAGTAAAAAATTTTCATAAGACCCGTATCAAATTATTGGCTTACAACAATTCATTTTTTAGTAGCGTGATTAAAGACAATGGAACCGGAAAATTAAGTGAGTAGGTACAGGTATATTATTAAACAGAATATACCTAGCCTATTTATACCTGTGTCCTGAAATACACCTAGTTCAGTACCTATACCGTCTTAATCTGGCATAAGTTCGAACGTTTTTTAAGCTATTTAAGTTATAAAAATTAAAATAAAGCTTAATTTGAATTTTTTTTTATGTATAATTTTAGGTAACAATTATGCTATTATTATACAATATACTTATTTATTATAAGAAAAGAAAAAACATAAAAACTTCCAATTTTATTACATTTTTTTATTCCTATATATACATCTATTTTGGGTCTAATTCTTGTTGGTGGACGAATTTCAATTCGAAATGAAGGGTAGGTTCAGATAGGAATATGGAATTTTTTTAAGAAATAGCTCTAGTAAAAATGTTCTAATATAAAAATATTACAAAAGTTACAGCACCAAGATAAAATTATGAGTTTATCCGATAAATAACACTGTCCTTTTTGCATAAGCAATAGTTAATTTTTAATTTTTTTTTTCAATATGGCAAATTTATATAAGAAATAATTAATTCTCTTTAATTCCAAAATAATAAAATTATGATCAATTATTCAAAAAAAAATTTTAATGTCCACATATTTCGTGCATAATGAAGTTCAAATATAAAAATTAATAACTTGCGTAATAAAAGCTGTACCACACATTTGATCACAAATATTTTTTTCAAGTAAAACACAAATTTATAAATATTGATAGCATATTAAAATTTGAAGTTGCACCACGGTCCGAACTTATGTCCAATGACTAGGTATAATGACTAATGAGAGTACGACGGCGATTTTAATCCATTTATATAGTGCAGAATATAAACTAAAAACCCTAAATTTATATTTTAATACAGGCTTATCGTATGGCGTTGAATGTATTATATTCAAAGAAATCGCTACAAGATTGAACATCACATGGGACACATTCACGTCTGACGACAAAGACAAATGGGGAACAGTGTGGATGAACAATACAATTACCGGTGGTGCACTCAAATGGTTGTATACTAAAAGGGTCGATGTGTCATTTTGCTCGCTTTGGATTGATCATATAAAATCCAAGTTCGTGGACATGTCTAAATTTTGGACATTAACGTGTTTAAAGTTTTTGGTCCCTAAGCCCCTGCCGTTACGAGAAAAATGGGACTTGCTGTTCAAACCGTTTCCGTTAAGTTTGTGGCTATTAGTTTTATTTTCTGCGACGTTGACGACGATTACAATATGGATATTGGCATGCATTCAGAAAAAGATTGGCTATGCAAATATTAACGGTTGGTACTTACGTAGTTACGTCACATATAGGTTTATCCTTATGTTACCTATAGAGTTTATTCATAGGTGTATACAAATATTTCTGTATTAATGACATCTGAAGTAAAAATGTCCTATTTGTATTTTACCAATAAAGAAACATGATTTTAATACATAATATATTTATGAGTTATGACATATAATTTATATAGCTACTATTATATTAGCTATTATTTAATTTATGTTACAAATGTAAATTTTTTATAAAACGTGTTTTTACTTGGTTTTTTAGCATTTACTTCGTTATCAACGACAATTTTTTGGATTATCGGAATGATGTTATTGACTAACAATCCACGTACTTACAGAATGGGACCTATTAGACATTTGATAAATTGGTGGTGCATGTTTATATTCATCATGTCTACTTCGTTTTCCAGCATTCTCTATTCATTCATTACATCGTCCGAGTATACAGACATTGTTTTGGAGGTTGAAGACATGGTTAAAGCCAATTACCACTGGGGTCTTACGTATCCACCCCCTTATGAGTACATACTGAAAATGGAAGTAAGACTGTAATGTTGTTTATATGATTTTGTGCAGGGATATAATGATATATATTAATTTTAAACGTTTTAAATTAATTGTAATCGAAAAATCATATGGGTACGCGTGAACCGTGATCTTTCGATTCGTTTTTTTTTTAAAAATGGTCAGGTTGTAGTATTATAATTTATAACTGACTATAGCGTGTACACTACCTACATTTATATACTATACAAATCCCGGATGGGTTATCGTTATTTTTAATTTTACATCATAAATCCTATTCAATTCAAAACGTTTGATGTGTTTCAATTAGGTACCTAGTACCTACCTACCTGGTCTATACGTGAATTTCTATAAATTCTTTACTTATTCAGTAAAACCTCTAAATACCGCCATATACCGGACACACACCGGACACATTCCTTAGCTGAAACTTTATTCAGAGATTTAATTTATGATTTATGGAAAGTTTGTAGTTTGTTTCAAAAAAAATCTTCCATTATTTGGACTTTGGAGGTTTCTGTTCGGCGAAGTCTAACTATATAATATAATATATTTACATGATAACTGATAAGTATACTTCGTACAGTTGAGCAGTCTAGCGTATAAACCTACATGAAATAAAAACAAATAATATTAGAATAGCCAATTAGCCAACAGGTGATCTATAGACTATAATCCAAAGTAGCTATTTGTAAGTACTAATAAGTACCTATATAAATAAATAATAAAATTAATGTTTTATATCCATATTGTACAGTTATACGGCAGTTATTTGTTATTATTATTAAATACTGATATTATTGCAATAAATTACTAGAAATATTTGAAATGAAATGTGCTCAAAATAAAAATAATATACCTACTATTATATAATACCTATTTCATATTATAACAAAATAGTGTTATCCAGGCGTCCAGTAAAATGAACCAGGATTAAAAAAAAATATTTATTTTTAATAATACTTTAGGAAGCCTACTGTATCGTTTAGCTTAAAATAATCTTATATATTATATATTTATCTAAGTAATTGGGTCGGTAATTAAAGAACGTTCTGAAAGAAAAATTATCTGAATATCCCGTGAAATATTCCCTACCTTATATAATATATTATGCTCAAATAATGCTCTATGTATTTAAATATACTGACGTCGGACAAACAACTTGTCAGTCAACCCACTCCGATCGTCTGATCAAAATGGCTTTATCAGCAGATTTGTTACCGTGGGAAAGTGGAAACATAATACCATTGATATACATAATACCCGATATTAATATTATGCTGGCTTCGAGCATAAAATTGTAAAATAATAAACAAAAACTCAATATTTTCCCATTACATCTTCAAATGCGTATGTGATTATAAAAATTGTTTTCAAAAACACAAACTGGTGTTCTGTTGAACCTGATTGTATGGTCTCTGCGTAGACTTGGCTTAAATGACGGCTTTACATAGTAATAAAATAAAACTACACTTATAATATTAGAATTATAATAGGTTCATACTTTATTTATCTTAACATTTTTTCAGGCGGGATGGAGTTGTGTAAGCATAAAATATTTTTACCCAGTCCATTGCAATATAAACACTTAACCAAACTATTCAAACTTGCAGGATAAAAAAAAAAACAAATATGTTGAACGAAAATAATTGATTACTTTGACTTGTATAGTATAATAATGACATAATTTATTTATAGTAATAATATACTAATATAAATTAACTGTACAAATAAAAAATGAAAACTAGGCTTACAACTATACGTTTTTCAAATTTATGCTCAATATATAGTCATAAATTATTAAAATAGGTAAAAATATAATATTGAAAAACAAGTGGAGAACACAATAACACTTATTACGATCTAAACTCTAAATTTGATATCAGCATTTAGCTCTGATGAAGTATTAACATTATAATTCAAATTAAAAAAAAATATATGTGAGCGTTTGGCTTAAGATGACCTGTACCTATATTCATGGTTCAATGGTTGTGAAAATTTTTAAATCATAATATTTAAGTAAATATAATTTGCTTCAAAATTAAAATAAAGAAAAAATGATAACATCGTAGGTGATTAATGATCAGTGCTCTTACCAGTTACCATAATACATCTGATATAATATTAATAATATAGAACCGATTTTCTGTAATCATAAAACTGATAGGTATAACAAAACTAAATTTATTTTTATGAACGTAAATTTGAGTTCAATATGTTTTATTTATGGCTGAGATTTCGAATTTCGATGCACTTTGCACTGTTTTCCAAATCTACCACCGCAATGCTCGTTTTATAACATAGGTACACGTTTCATGTATTATTGAATCAGAATAAGAAGTTTTTTTCATTTATAAGATCATTTTAGGTTTTTTGGGTCATTTTTGAAGTTTTTGAATCCAAAATTTGAAATTTGAAATTCTATTTTAAGATTATTACATATTTTTACATGATTTTTATATACATTTAACAAACTTGTCATCAAACATATACTGCTGTAATCGGTGGGGAGCTAGGAGCGTCGAGATTATCATGTGGAAACTAAAAAGCATACAATATTGGTGAAACACTTATTAATTTTACAATTACAATTCAGACTCAATCACAACATTACTGCAATATCGTCATATTCTTATGAGTTGACGAAAAACGGTGAAAATTATGGGGTGTAGTTAACCTAACCCGTTTTAAAAATAATATTGCTCTTGGCAAATAGGTCTATAAATAATAATAATAACAAAAATAACATTATTGCACGAAACGCTTGTAGAATCCGGTGCACGTGAAGTTCAGCAAGCGGTTCGTACCGGAACGCGGCGTGGACGATCGGATCAGCCGACTGAAGCTCGGTCGGTACGCGATTCTGACAAAGTGCCTGTACGAGAAACACTTCATGGAGTCGGATAAAGTGCCGGTCGCTATGCTGAACAACCTGCGGACGGCCCGAACGTGCTTGAGCCAGTTTTACATCGGTTTTGGGTTCACCAAGCGGTCGCCGTACGCGAAACCGGCCAACCTGGTCATCCAGCGGATTTTCGAGAGCGGGCTGATCGACTATTGGCTAAGCCGGGTGACCGAGGTCCGCATGTCGCCCACCACGTTCAAGCAGGTGTACGAAATAAAGCCACGCAAGAGCGGCCACCCGTCGGCACTTAGCTACCGACAATTCAAAGTCGTCATGGTCGTATGGATGGTTGGATGCGCACTGTCGGCGGCAGTGTTCGCCGTCGAATGTCGGTATGGTCGCGGCGGCACCGGACACGCACGCAGGCCGCGCCGTGCATAATCGCTGCAGCCACCGCCCATATATTATAATATTGTAATAACTATTTTAGATTCTGAGTGGAGCAATAAATGTATTGAATTATCACATAATGATGTGTGTGTTTTTTTTTTTATTATTTATATATTCATTTTTCGTTTTCTTTTTGTATCTTACATCACCGTTTGGGGTAGTAAAACTGCTTCGATTATCTTCAACGGTATCTTGTTTGATTGGAAAGTAAATTTAGTTGGTGCATTAAAATTCCCAAAAGTTTTCAAAAGCGCAGGGGAAAACAATATAAAAACTATGGAAAAACGAGAATGTTTACTCAAATTCGGTTTTCGACAAAATCGATTTTGGTGTTTGGTGTAACTCAAAAACAAATGACCGTACAGATACATGAAATGTTCACTGAATATTTTATATTAGGTAGTATTTTCTATACCTGATAAAATTTTCCAAATATTTTAACTAGTTTTGAGCTGTTTATATTATATAGTTTCCAATTTGTTAGGTAGGTATTTTTTTTTTATAAATATTACCAAAATTGTATTCGTTGGATCAAAAAACTTGGAAATGTATAACGAGGCTCTTAATACATTGTTATAATTTTTAATATATTGTTACAATGACAGTTAAAAAATATTAAAAATATGAAGTCACAATTTTTGTAAAAGCATTTACAGTTTGAATTTTGATAAAAGGCGTAAAAATCACGAAAATGTGCAAATTATTTCTCTATAAATCTAAAATTTTTAAATGTAATACAAGATTCCTTATAAGTTTTTCTACATTTATCAAAAAAAAAAAATGTGTTGAGCTGTTTACGGACAATTTCAAATTTCAATTATTTTAGTTTTTTAGATTCTGAGGGGAGCGATGAATGTATATTGATTTTAAAATGTGTGTTTTTATTTTTTTTTGTATCTGTCATCACTAGGGCAGAGGACTTGTAGCTCTAAAAATCACCAAATATGCACTTTAATATACAAAATATGCATTTTAAAATGAATATTTTTGAACAAAAAATAAGAACTTTTCTGTAGTTACCTATTATTTTAATGAATAATACATTTTATTTACAACTTTATTTATCAAGTTACAAGTTACAATTAGTTATTTTAATTATTTGGGTTTATTTTATGAGTTTAATAATCTGGATACTTCTTCAAAACTTTCAACTTTCAACTTTCAACTTCTTCAACTACTAAAGAACAATTGACAAAATATTTTTGTTTCAAATATTTTAGATTAACACAGATTTTTACCTTGGAAGTTACATTGTACAATAAGATGTTTTTCAACTTTTATTACGCTAACAGCACTTTGAACATTGAAAAAGAACATTCAACATCAACGGAATTTATAGGAGCATATTTAAAATATGCTAAATTGCTATATAAGACTCAAAATTTTATGTATATTCTGACAATTGAAGTTTCTTTTCCAGATAAAATTTTTGAAATTTGAGCCAATATTTGTTAACCTTTATTTATCTCTAAAACACTCGTCTTTTCTTGAGTCATTCTTCCCACTGGTACTTGATTCAATTTTAAGAACAACGTCGTCAATCATTTATAAGTAGAGTACCCATGTATGTTCCATGTCCTATAGGGCATGCACTCGTATTTTTCTCGAATTTTCATTCATTTTTCATCATTCTAAAATATCTATATTTTTTAAATCGTTTATTTTACTGGTTTTTAAGAAAATATACACTATTTTTTACTTAAAAAAAAAGTTTCATTTAAATAGTTAAAAAAATTGTATATATTTTGTATCCATCTTTCTTAAATTCCTATACTTTTTTAGGTCCAGAACCCGAATCCGAAAACGTTCGGGTCCAGAGCCCTGCTGAAAATCTTTGGGTACCTATTTTTCTAATTCACCCGAAACAATTTTACGTTTAATATCATTTATAGAACTAGGGTTATTGATTATTACATTAAAAAATTCTTGTTCAAGGAAATACATATTGTCTAAATATGTGAAAAATATTTTATTAAATAAACTGTAAAATAAAAAAAAATTGAATTAAAAAATATTTATCTTTGAAATGGATGAAGTATTTTAATCAAATTAAGTTCTAAATTAAAATGCATTAATAAATAATTTTTCTAAACATACATTTTTAAATAAATTGTAGTTCAAAATCAAATTTAATTTAAAAAATAATATGTAAGTAGGTTATTTTGTAACCAAAATATCTCAAAAATATAAAACACGTTTTTTTTTATTGTGATTTTATGTTCAAATTTGGACAAAATGATTACATATAAGAATAACGATTTTAATTATTTTGTTGTAATTTTATAATATTATAAAATGTTGTTTTGCTTATCCTGAACCATTTCAAAAGGTGGATTTATCTGGTTGTTGCAGTAAGCCTTTCATATTAATTCAACTTACCGACTACCGCATTAATAATAACTAATAAATATATAAATATTAAATATAATATAAAATATCCACTCTGACAAACCGTCTCCGATCAGAATCTTTTTTCGTTTATACCTACAATGATATTATATCGTTGAGTTCAAATTTAATGCCATCCATTATACAGTTACCCACTTGTACCCTATGCCCTAAATAAAATATATTTTAATATTATTATCGTAAAATATCGGGAAATGTAAGTGATTCAGCAATCACACGTCTGTAGATAGAACTATAGAAGCTATAGACGTCGTGCTCGTGCATCTAGGTTGAAGTAATAATTAATAACATTTTGATATTATAAATTAATAAAAATTAATACATTTTTAATTATAAATTAATTTTTTTTTGTATTAGGTACGTTGTAAGTTATACTTTTAATTTTTTTTATAGTAAGCTACCTATGTAACTACCTATGTATCCAACATTATTTGTCGGTAGTCTGTACTCGTATTATTATTTTCGTTATTTCACATTAAGCATTTTGTGCTTCTCTGAAAATAAGATGAATAAGAGCAAGTCAAACAGAATATGTTGTGTTGTCGGATGTAGTAATACTTAAAAAAATACAAACCAAATAAGCCGTATAAGAGGACTCTACATCCGCATGTGTTCTCTCCGTCTTACAAATGTACTACATAGCAAAAACCGTTTTGCGCGGGAAAGAACCGAGAAGGTTACAGTCTTAACTAAGAAACGAGATTTGCACCACATAAAAAGGAGAACTTTGGCTGTGCAACACTGCAAAGTTGTTTTTTTTTTTTGATATCGCTTATATAAAAAAAGTTCTTACTGTTTCAAAAATATTATTGTTTGTGTTTTTCAAACTTGAAAAACTTTTTTCATATAAATGACATCAAAAAAATAAAAACAAAGTTGCATAGCCTAAGTTCTCCTTTTTATGTGGAGAAAATCTCGTTTCTTAGTTATGACTGTAGCCTTCTCGATTCTTTCCTGCCCAAAACAGTTTTTGCTTGTTGTACATTTGTAAGACGGAGACAACGCATGCGGGCGTAGTGTCCTCTTAAATCATCATAATATTACTTCCAAGCACAGACTTCTATACTACACTAGATAAGGAACTCAGGGACGGATCCAGGGGGGCATGGGGCCAGGGCCGTAGCAACCGAATATTGCGCCCGGGGCGAAACTTCAAAATGCGCCCTTAAGTATTTTAATTTATAAAAAAACTAAACACTGTATATTATTTATAAACGCCATATAAATAATGATTTTGCCTTATAATTATGTAAGCGTATGTTAACTTTATTTAAATCAATAACTTATTAAAATATAAATATACATAATTATTATAAGAACATTGATGTAACATAATAAATAATAATATTATTTTTACTTATAAGTAACATTTAAATTGCAATTTTTCTAGCTTTTTTCCCAGCAAAGTCTTCAATAAGTTTGTTTATATCTAAAGTATTTACCACTGTATGTTCAATAGATAAAATAGCCATATCAGATATTCGATCTTGTCCCATAGTCGACCTCAAATAGTTTTTTATGAGCTTTAACTTACTGAATGATCTTTCACACGTCGCCACAATTATTGGCAAAGTCAAAAATATGCGTAAAGCTATTTCGACATTTGGATATTCAGCACGCAAAGAATATGTTGTAATTAATTGTAGTAGGGCTAAAGGTGTTGCGGCTCTTAAGTCAGGTAAAAGAGAAAATGCTTGAGACTTAAAATCGGAAGAATCTAGATCGGTTTCATACTTCAAAGAATAAGTCAGCTGCACATTTTTGTATAATATAGTCCATAGAGTGGTCCGTCAAGCTACTACCATACAAAAATCCAAAATTTTCATTAATTTCTGACATATTTTCGAATCGATTGCTTAACTCTGTAAGAATTCGATCATAAACTTCAAAAATATCTTTTTTAAATTCATTCTGTTGAGATGAAACTTGCACATTATCTTCAATTAGGTATCTCGAAATCTAATTTTTTCACTTTCCTCTTTCGCTTATCAGAAAAATTTGCTTTAATACCGAGATCATTTGCAATCACTTTAACGAATTCAATTGTTTTTTCAATTCCTTCATTTCGCATTGTTGTGACATAATCATAACAATATTAATAATAAATAATAATAGATATATTATAAGATGTATAAGAAATAAGAATAGATGAAATGCTCGGCGACAACGCAAACATAATTGGTAATTCCACATTTCCATAAAATAGTAATTATTTTTAATCAATTATTAAGAATTATTTCTTAAGTGTAAGGTCTTCCTGTACATTGATAGATTGTATTTACTAACTATTATTGGTTTTATACTTTTATATAAAATATATAATAATTATTAGATATTATTTTCAACTATGCTTCAATTAATATACCTCAAGGACGTTGAAGTTTTTGTAAATAAAATATACAACACTGACCGCTGTAATTTTTAACATAAAATTAAAATTTATAATTTTTGCGCCCTCCCGAGAAAATGCAATTTTTCATTTTTTGCGCCCTCCCAGGAATTGCGCCCGGGGCGTAGGCACCTCTTGCCCCCCCCCCTTGCTACGGCCCTGCATGGGGCCCCCCAGACATAATTTTTTTAAA